AAAATCATGCAAAATGTATGCAATATAACAAATTATTACATATGTGCTTCCAGATTACACAGTCATTTGCCACGGAATAACATTCATAATGTTTACAACTGTTATGCAAATGAATAAAATAGTCCTCTCTAAAGTTGAGTTTTTTTTGGTAATTGTTGCATAAATTATACATTCATACATATATGTAAGATATATTTCGGCACCCCACAATTATTGTTGAATTTTTTATTTGTCTAATTCCAATAATAAGACGTCAAAAAATATTCTTGCACAATGAAAGTATCAGAAGCAATGAAATAACTAGCAAATTAGCAACATTTTATCCAAGAATTTTTCATTTTCCTGTGGTGCCTCTGTTTTCTTCAGAATTCCAGTGACTATTCAATGTGTCATTTCTACATAGATCAACACCCGTATTTAATGCAGACTGAATAAGTATGAACTTATACGAAAAAATAATTGATACTATCAGTGCAACAAAGGCATACCCGTCACCGCAATGACACCGTTGTGCACTGTACTTGACTGGCAGCATTCAACTGCCATCGAAATTTATAAATATTTATAAAACTGAAGGAATGCCTTTGTTGCACTGAGAGTATACAACAGAGGATTGATAAAAATAATTCAACATCATCATCACAGTTATGAAACATCTATAGTCATGTCATATTTAAAACTCTTTAATGAGATTCTCTTAAAGAAATTAATGCATAGATATTAAAACAATGCATATTCCAGTCAAATTTTTTTGCGGGGGGGGGGGGGTATTTAGAACTGACCTGATATCGGATACAATCTTCTCCTTCTAGAAACATTTTCATTTGTTTCCAGTCAAACGTGGCTGATTTTCTGTATTTATCTATCGGTCCTACCGGCATGTCAGGAATCAACTCATCAATGGTTCTCCTATCCGGCATCGCATTGATACAAGGATGAGGTAACTGTACAGACATTGTTAACGCTTATACGTGTTACAAATGAAAGCTACAGTGAGGCTACGATGCGACAGAGATCTTTATGATCGCTATCCAGGGCGTCGAGTACAAAACTGGGTTATCAACGACTTTCGTACAGCATTATAACTGCACGTTCTTCGTACGGTATCTGGGTATTGGTGTACTTTTGCCCCGGTACCTTTGTACCACGCAGTTGAACTTTGATCATGTGAGGGCGCAATTGAAGCAAAAGATTGTTGAACTCTTTATTTTAGGGGCGAGTCAATATTTCCTATGGAGTGGGCTAGAATCAGGATAATGCATAGGAAGGGGGCAAGGGGGTAGCGGGTACAGGTTACAGGAAATACAAAATGCATTTTACGTTTTTACAGGATATAAAATTGAAAGTTCCATTTACAGTAAAAAATAGATTTTTACACTTTACAGATAAAGCAAATTTTACATTTTTATAATATATTTGATAATTTGTGTTTAAGAATCAAAATATGAAATTGTGTACAAATTACAACATTTAATGTGGAAAATACTTTATAATGTTGTTGGGTTTTTTATGGAAGAACCCACAAGGCAAAAACCATACTTTGCAGTACCTGTAATTTATCTTTTCGGCTATGAATATATGGACCAATCAAAACAAGGGTCTTACCACTTCAGTTAACAACCAATCAGAAGCTTTGGTTCATCAGTGAAATTTCTTGATTTTATAGTCTGCTCACTTTTGCTACTTTTTCTCATCAAGGAGCAGTGAAAAGCTGCCTGGGCAATTTTTTAAAAGATCCTCCTCTTCCCATCCTCCGCACAGTTAGGTATATGTTTGGGGGTGCTTGTGCCCCCCTCCCTGTGTTTAAGTACTTCATTTGAAGGATTTTTTGTTGTGTGTATTTTTAGCTACCACTGCAGTAGGATTCAACCCAAAGACGCTTGTCTTTGGTTTTTCACGATATCAAGATCTTGTAAATATCTAGCTGGATTTTCTGCCTTGTAATGATTTTTAATATTAGCTAAAGTCAATATTTAGATGGTAAGGGTTATTTTCGTTCAACGTAATTGCAATATTTTTTTGTTCGTACAACCTAAATTGAAAAAATAAATTCCGTAATTCTGTAATCATAGGCTAGACGTACAACATAATCAATCAAATATTTTGTTCGTACACTGTAAAAATGGTTCTTTTTTCTCAGTACGTACAAGAATTTACATCCAAATAAAAAAAGTCGTAAAAAATAAATAATCCAGGGAAATTACATTTTCAAAACTGTAAAATGACTAGATGACACGATTCACTGCAATTTTCCTTGTAAATTGTAAAAAGCCCTTTTTATTTCCCGTAAAACTGTAACAGCTACCCCCCTTGCCCCCTAGATGACTTCCATGTTCAAAGCTTTAACAGTATTTTTATGAATACAGTGTTCTTTGTATTTAAAGCATTCAACGTCATTTTAATAAATGACACCCAGGGAGTGTCCGGGCACGCGCGGAAACGAACAGGGGGGAATACCTAACGCGCGGGGCAGCGGCCGCAATCCTTGTAGTAGGACCCTATTACACACAAATCTGGCTTGAGAGTTTGTTCATGCTTGCTGACATAAATATAAATGTTGATTATTAAGCTATTTATGTTAAAGGGGAGGTTGCATAGTAAAATTTTGTGTAACAAACAATGAATTTTTTGCGGATCCCACATTTATGTCACAACGCCCCTTCCCACCCTTAAAGTTGGTCAGTGTTGAGCTTACAAATCAGTTTTATAGAAATATAAATCCATTTCGCTTGCAAATCTGATAGAAATATGAATCCCATATGTTTACAAGGTATGAGAGTTTATATAGCAGGATTTTAATTAAATATCATCTACAGTGACCGAGTATAAATAAGCGACCTGATGGTTGAAATAACTCCATTGTCCTACAAGAACATTGTGGTAGCCAACTCAAGCAATGCAAACCCATAAGGCAAAACACATGCACTTAAAAAGTAGTTTAATTCTGTCTTTTGAGAACATATGCCAACCTAATTTTATCAAACAAATTATGTACACCACAAATAACAAAGCAAACAGGCCGATAATTTTCAAGAAACTGCAAAGTAAGGTGTTTTTTTTCAAAATGTACAAAATTATTAGCTAAAAATAGAGAATTAATGATATCGTCACGAAATGAACAAAATTTGATGAAAGGTAATCAGGTTGGTGGTTTTCAAAATAAAGTAATAAATATCATTTTTTACCAAAAATTACATTTTTGACTTTGTTTATATTCTATTTTAAGTGTCTGAACACATATGTTTATTTTATCACTGATAGATTTAATAGTACCCAAGTAGAAGGATATATCTCTCAACAAGTAGAATGTTCCCCTAATGTCACAAAGAAACAAATCTAAGAGAGGTCCATCATATATGTCAATTATCAAAGCAATTTGAGCAGCGGTTTTCAAGAAGAAGTCAAAAATAGAATTGTTGACAGACAACGACAGACATTCATCTAAAAGAACATCTCTAATGTGTTTCGTTGACAGTGAAGCTAAAAAAGGAGAATTAATGATATGAAATCTGAAGTCACAGAATGAACAAATCTGATAGAGTTTCATCCAAGGTACCCACATATAACATATCAAAACATAATTGCTGACAGACAGACAGATCTATGATGACAGCGAAGCTAATGGGTGGGTGGGGGGGGGGCTGCATGGCAACTCTGTTGGCAGTATCAATCTTTCTGATTTCAGTTACATAAAGATGGTCATTTACATGTAAAAAGTGCCATAAAATCACATCTGATATGAAAGTCTTTAAACAACAAAATGCATCTGACAATCAGTTAAATGAATCTGCCATTTATTTCCTTTATTTACTAAAGGTGCATAAAAATTAAAAACATATTTATTTTATATTCAATCATTATGAAACATTTATGGTACAAATCAGAGTTTTGTTTCATTAAGTAAGATACCTGTATGTAAACCACATATTTACTTAATTCACACTCTGCTGAAAAGAAGTTAAACTTTGAAATAAAATTTGCATTGATATTGATATATGCATGAAAAATTTGCATAAAAACTACTAAAATTTACTGAGATGAAAAAAAATTAAACTTTCTAATTCAATAAAACATTTTATTAAATAGACGAATGATGTTGAAGTTGTTTGTAAGTTTTTAAAAATACATAATTCTAGAAAGAAAATATCGAGATATGAGAGATAAATTGGGTGGACTCATCAAACCAATATTTAATGCACTTTGGATATAATCTTCACTTTTTACAGTTTTCCACGAAGTGAGTCTTGGACTGGTTTGTTGCAGAATTCTCTCCACCAATCAGGTCGTTCCATTACCTTAGGTGTTTTCATAATAGAGCTGAAAATATTCTTGTAAATCTAGGGAAAAAATATATATAATAATAATAAGCTTTATTATAGCTGTAAAGAAATCACAATTCTACATTAGTTTGTAAATAATAATTAAAAGTATTTATTTTTATGTTGTGAATATCTGAGTAGTTAAGTTAGTGTTGGTCTTTTAGTAACAGCATTGTTTATGTATCTGATAACACTGATGTCTAAACAGAGATATCATGTTTGAAATCATTTGTAATTTGTTTGCGTAATTCTGTGTTGAGAAATTATTGTACATTCTGTTGAATTGTTCATACAGTTCCTGTCTTTCATTTGTGTATATTTGACAGTGAATTAAAAAGTATTTCGCCTTCTGGTGTATTACATATTTTGCAAATTCTTCCATCAGCTGCTGTTTTGGGACGTGTATGTCTCCCAACTTTAATTTCTAGGCCATGGAAGCTTAGTCTTAGTTTGACTAATGTTTTAATATCTTGATATTTTTTCCTGATGTTTAAATACAGTGCACATTTAATTGTATTATTTTATTTTATTATTCAAAAGTCTGTATGTGCATAGTTTACATTTTCTTCTATTGTTAGTCTCATTCCAGATCTTTGTATATTTTTCTCTTGATATGTCATGGAATTTCTGTTTTTTTTTAAACATAATTGTCAATGTCAATGTAGTTGTTGTTTTTGATAATATTTAGATAGTGTAACCAAGAGCTTGTGGAACAATTTTGTTTTAGTTCCATTATAGCATCATATGAAAATTAACTATTATATATTACATTTTGTGGTTTGTTTTATAATTAGCTGCCATTTACAGTGAAAAAGTAATACCAATTCAAACCTGTTAGAAGGGAAAGTGTATAGTTGTATGACAGGAGATATCATTGAAACCAGTGTCACTAACAATGCCTGACTGATGTCAGTGTCACTAACAATGCCTGACTGATGTCAGTGTCACTAACATTGGCTGGCAGCTAAGGCTCAGTGTCTCAGTGGACTCAATATCTCTATGACCTAGCATAAAAAAATGGTGACTTAAGGCACAGAAGAAAATTAACTTTTCGGACTGAAACAGAAAATATGATTTGTTTTATAAACACAGCTTAAAACCTTCAAATTGAGAAGAAAACAAAATACCAACTACCTTTATCACTCAAACCATATCATTAATAATATTATTTTGCCCACAAATGGTTGACATTATCTGCATTTACCTCTCCATCGGCTTTTCCTAATGCCGAGTTCAAGATGAAATCTCGGGGAGCAATGACGTCCACCAACGCCACTGCGTCATCCTTTAAAATACGGCATAATTGGACAATGGCTTCTCTTATCAGACGAGCTGGGTCACGACCACTCATGTATCCACCTGCATGTAATATAACAGAATTAAGTAAGCTCTGGAATCTGTAGCTTGAATGGTATTTATAAATCACAAACAAATGCAAAAAAAACAAACTGTGGATCAATAAATAAAACAAGCAGCCTGTCGGCTGAGATAGCTCCGCTGTTAGCAATGCACATTTCAATTAAAGAACTGAAGATATCATTAGAAAATGAACAATATGTATAGTATCAAAGCAATCGGACTTGCTGTTTTCGACAAGAATTTAAAAATATCACTTTTTAACAAAAAAACGACAAAAATATTCATTAAAATTAAAGAATTGAACATATCATCATGAAATGAACAAATCTGAGAGAGGTCTACCTGAGGTACCTATATGTATAGTATCGAAGCAATCAGACTTGCGGTTTTTAACATGAAGTCGAAAATATCACTTTTTACCAAAAATGACGAAAATATTCAAAAAAATTAGAGAATTAAAGATATCATCATGAAACGAACAAATCTAAGAGAGGTCTACCCAAGGTACATATACACCAAGTATCAAAGCATTCAGGCTTGTAGTTTTCAAGAAGAAGTTGAAAAAGACGGACGACGGACAATCACTCATATGATAAGCTTCGCTCAACCAAGTCGACAGCGGAGCTAAAAATTATCTCTGTTTTGTGGTCTGAACTGAAAAAAACAGCACATAAATATAACCAATAAATGGTATCTGACCTCTGACCTTACAACTCACCTTGATACAAAGTAGCCATGTGTTTTTCCAGACTCCATAAACCGTATAGAGCACATAATTTTTTGAGCACCGGTGCCAAACCAGGTGGAACTGCAGGATCATTAACACAATCATAAAACCACTGCAATACAGTATGCTGTAAAAACAGAATCCACAAATCACCAATACAACCACATATAACATATCTGTACTGCTCAATACTGTTCAATCAAAGTTGCAATTTTACCCTTAATTTTGATATTGTGACATAAATTGTAAGTTAAAAGTACAGAGCCCTGGCTGTGTGAAATAAAAGCGCACATGTTTGGATACTTTGCAAAAACCCATTGCACATGTTTATTTTTAAGACTGCTGATACAGTCATTGGATTGTGTTGTCAGCAGAATTTGAGATACATACATCCTGTCTCTCCCTGTGGCATAATGGTATGGCTCAGACAGTGACATGGTGATTGTGAAATACCTTGGAATGTGCTGAGCCCAGTGTTGTTGGCAATGAAAATAGATATGACATCATTGACCCGAGTCTCCTACTTTAAATTGGTAGAGCTTGGATTAAGAGTGGTTTATTCCACTACCAAAATTGGCATCCTCTGTACACTGATTTGTCGGCTATTTCGAGATAACCAATCATTTCGTTATATACATTTTATTATTTGCATGGCCATAAATTAGCTAGGGTATTTAAGTTG